CCCGCAAACTTCTTAATCTCATCTGCCCACCTAACCTTCTGTCTCCCCCTAACCCGCTTCCCTTCTCTGGGAATCCAGTCAGTTACCCTTAATGACCAGCGGTTATCCTGTCTACGCGCTACATGCCCTGCCCATGTCCATTTCTTCTTCTTGATTTCAGCTATGATATCCTTAACCCCCGTTTGTTCCCTAATCCACTCTGCTCTCTTCTTGTCTCTTAAGGTTACACCTACCATTTTCCTTTCCATTGCTCGCTGCGTCGTCCTCAATTTAAGCTGAACCCTCTTTGTAAGTCTCCAGGTTTCTGCTCCGTAGCTAAGTACTGGCAAGATACAGCTGTTATATACCTTCCTCTTGAGGGATAGTGGCAAACTACCTGTCATAATTTGAGAGTGCTTGCCAAATGTGCTCCACCCCATTCTTATTCTTCTAGTTACTTCAGTCTCGTGGTTCGGCTCTGCGGTTATTACCTGCCCTAAGTAGACATAGTCTTTTACAACTTCAAGTGCACTATTACCTATCTCGAAGCGCTGCTCTTTGCCAAGGTTGTTGTACATTACTTTCGTTTTCTGCAGATTAATTTTAAGACCCACTTTTCTGCTCTCCTTGTCTAACTCCGTAATCATGAGTTGCAATTCGTCCCCCGAGTTACTCAGCAATGCAATGTCATCGGCGAAGCGCAGGTTACTAAGGTATTCTCCATTGACTCTTATCCCTAACTGTTCCCATTCTAGGCTTCTGAAAACCTCCTGTAAGCACGCGGTAAACAGCATTGGGGAAATTGTGTCCCCCTGCCTTACACCCTTCTTGATTGGTATTCTGTTGCTTTCTCTATGAAGCACTATGGTAGCAGTTGATCCCTTGTAGATTTCTTCCAGAATGTTTATGTATACTTCATCTACGCCCTGATTCCGCAGTGTTTGCATGACGGCTGATATTTCTACTGAATCAAACGCCTTCTCGTAATCTATGAAGGCTATGTATAGTGGTTGGTTATACTCTGAGCATTTCTCTATTACCTGATTGATAGTATGAATGTGGTCAATTGTTGAGTAGCCTGTTCGAAATCCTGCTTGCTCCTTTGGTTGATTGAATTCTAATGTTTTCTTTACTCTGTTAGCAATTACCTTTGTAAATAGCTTGTATACTACAGAGAGCAAGCTGATCGGCCTGTAATTCTTCAAGTCCTTGTCATCTCCTTTCTTATGTATTAAGATGATGTTAGCGTTCTTCCAAGACTCCGGTACTCTTCCCGCCAGGAGACCCCTCGTAAACAGGGTGGCTAGTTTTTCTAACACAATCTGTCCTCCATCTTTCAGCAGATCTGATGTTACCTGATCCTCACCAGCAGCTTTGCCCCTTTGCATGCTCTCCAAAGCTTTTCTGACTTCTTCTATCATTACTGGTGGGGTGTAATCTGGGTTACTGCTAGTTCTTATAGTATTAAGGTCGTGGTTGTCTCGGCTACTGTACAGATCCCTGTAAAACTCCTCCGCTATCTTAACTATCCTATCCATATTGGTAGTTATTTTGCCTTCTTTGTCCCTTAGTGCATACATCCGACTTTTGCCTATCCCAAGTTTCCTCTTCAATGCTTTGACACTTCCTCCGTTTTTCAGAGCGTGTTCAATTCTCTCCATGTTGTACCTTCTTACATCGCGTACTTTACGTCTATTAATCAACTTCGAAAGCTCTGCCAGTTCTATTTTGTCTGTTGTACTTGACACTTTCATGATTTGACGCTTCTTAATTAGGTTCTTCGTTTCCTGTGAAAGCTTGCCAGTGTCCTGTCTAACTACCCTGCCTCCAACTTCCACTGCACACTCCATAATGATACTCGTCATATTATCATTCATTGTATCTACGCTAAGGTTGGTTTCCTCACTGAGAGCCGAGTACCTGTTCTGCAGTGACACTCTGAATTCCTGTACTTTCCCTCTCAGTGCTAGCTGATTGATTGGCTTCTTGCGTATCAAGTTCTGTCGTTCCTTCTTCAAGTCTAGGCGAATTCGAGACCGTACCATCCTATGGTCACTGCATCGTACCTTGCCAATCACTTCCACATCCTGCACGATTCCAGGTTGTGCACTCATTATAAAGTCTATTTCGTTCTTATTTTCGCCATTAGGGCTCCTCCATGTCCACTTGCGGTTTTCTCGTTTTCGGTAGAAGGTATTCAAAATCCGTAAATTATTGCGTTCTGCGAATTCTACTAGTAGCTCTCCTCTGGCGTTTCTAGTACCGATGCCATAATCTCCTACTGCCTGGTCTCCAGCCTGCTTCTTCCCTACCTTTGCATTAAAGTCGCCCATCACTATAGTATACTGTGTTTTTACCTTACTCATTGCCGATTCCACGTCTTCATAGAAGCTTTCAACTGAAGCGTCATCATGGCTGGATGTAGGCGCGTAAGCCTGTACTACCGTCATCTTGTATCTTTTATTCAGTTTAATTACGATACCTACCACCCTTTCATTAATGCTATAGTATTCCTCTATGTTGCCAGCTATGTTTCTGTGAATTAGGAACCCCACTCCCAGTTCTCTTCTGTCTGCCAAGCCCCTGTAGCAAAGAACGTGCCCATTCTGTAGCACCGTATAGGCCTCATCTGTCCTCCTAACCTCACTGAGCCCTATTATATCCCATTTAACACCCTCTAGCTCCTCGAATAGTACAGCTAGACTTCCCTCACTAGATAAGGTTCTAGCGTTAAACGTTGCCAAGTTCAGGTTCCAATGGCGGCCTGTCCGGATCCAGAGATTCTTAGCACCCTCTGCTGCGTTGCAGATCTGACCGCCGCCGTGGTCAGTTGCTTCGCAGCTGCTGGGGACTGAGGGCCGTGAGTTATTTGACGTAAGCATGTGGGAGGTAGTGGCCAGATACTGCACCAGGGTGGCCAATCCTTCTCTGGTGAGGGAGTGCGTTCTCGGCGGTGTTTTGCCGGTGAGGCCGCACCCCAGGCCTCTTAATGCAGTTCCATCAACACGCGGATTTTTTTTTTTTTTAATCCGGTTGGGAACTGCGCGGTACCGGGATTTGAACCACGGACCTCTTGCATGCGAGGCGGATGCTCTAACCACTACGCCATCGCCGCACCTCAACGAAGCTTACCGCCACGTAATGGTCACACATGGCCCAATCGTGGCATGTCACCTCTATGGGCCAACACAGGTCATCAGCTGATTGGCTGACCTCACGCTCACAGTTAGCTTGAAATCACACGCGCCTTGCCCCGCACTTTCGTCGTTGTCGTCATTTTTCTCTAATCCTCACAGTCTTTAATGGCAGGGTTGGAAAAAGAAGCGTGGCACAGGGGCGTAGCAGATTGGCATTTGAGAGAGAGAAAACATTCCACCGCAGCTTTTTCTTTTCTTTTCCTTTTCTTCGCGCTCGCGGTGATCTAGTGGCTAATGTACTCGGCTGCTGACCTGCAGATCGCGAGATCAAATCCCAGCTGGAGCGGCTGCATTTCCGATGGAGGTGGGAATGCTGTAGGCCCGTGTGCTCAGATTTGGGCACACGTTAAAGAACCCCAAGTGGTCGAAATTTCCGGAGCCCTCCACTACGGGGTCTCTCATAATCATATGGTGGTTTTGGGATATTAAACCCCACATATCAATCAATCTTTTCTTCGCCGTGTTGAGGTGTTGGAGGTGCCAAATAATGAGATTCGACTGTATTTGATATAGAAAATTTAAAATACAAGGCAGAAAAATGTCTGCCCTCAACTTTATTCTCGTGGGGTCACCTGACCACATTGCATTCGGCCTGACTAGCCCGGTGACGTAGGATGGCTCCCCTAATGAAATTAGCTGGAAGGGCCTACATAGGGAAGCTCACATATCATTGTTGCTTGTTCTTTCCTACGTAATGTTGACCCCGTTGCCATAGTAACAAACATGGTGCCTGACGCCTGACTTGTCAGAACATGAGTGGGTGCTAAACACGTGCGGAAAGAGGCAGCTTGCAAACTCACAAAAAGCAAGAAGAGGGAAGAGAGAGAGAGAGAGATGCCTTTCATATGGAAATCCGACCTGTGCAAGGCAAAAATCCAGAGGCAAAATGGTAGCCAGCGTCTTTGTCGTGCTTTGTTTGCTTGTGGCCGTGTTTGTTTGGGGTTCAATGAAAAAGCCCAGAAAAGAAAAATTAAAAGACATTAGTTATCTCAGTTCTGGTGGCATGCTATTATCTCTTCAAAGGTTACATTCATCCAATCATAGGCTTGCAGCCATCCTCCGTCATTTCCGCCTGTAAAAGTTCTGGCGAGCGCCAATACGTGCTGATGCAGTTGGCAGAGATGCGTGATTTCATGTTGTGATTGAAATACGAAATCATTTAATATCGGTGCTGAGACATGTTATAATAATCCCCAGTATGCGAAACAAATAAAAAATAGATGCTTCAGAAGTGTTAAAGAGCTCCTTTAAAGTGATGTCAGCTGTACAGTTTAGGGGAACATTATGCTTTCATAGCTGTTAAATGAATCCGGACGATGAATTGAGTTGAATATACAGCGAAAATTCCGAATACACATGTAGTTGAAAATTTTCTAAAAACGTTTCAAGACCCCCTTAAGTACTGATTGAGCAAAAGTATCTATATGATTGTAACTAAAATGTGGCCCCAATTACACCACGACATATTCTTCCTTAAGTTGTTAAGTAGACAGCAACAAGATCTTGCTTTGCACTTTTTTTGTTGTTTTTAGCTATGGACATACAGCTTCTAGGTCTTCTAAAATTGTCGCTGCTCTTGATGTAGAGGCCACAGTGCAATTAAACTTTCCTTAATGGATATATTGAATTTATCTTTCCAGCACTTATATTCAGTCTCTATCTTTAGTTTAGATTTGCTTAATTCACAGAACTTCTTTTCTCACTGTAGTGGCCTTTCTTTCACATAACGGATACCCCTTTTTTTTTTTCATTTTTGAGCTTTATTATTCAGTTGTCGTAGCAGCTAGTGTGTTGACTCCTGTTCTGTCCCCTCTCTCTTTCCAGGATACTTCCAGACAAGCATCGCAACCTGCATTCTCCGAAGTTCAGGTTCTCTGCCATGGCATTAGGCCACCTAGGCCCCAGACTCACCTTGACCAGACAGTATTTGATCAATTTGTGAAATCGGTAAGACTTGATAGCAGCCGATTGCTTTCGTTCAACTGGCGTGTGGTATGCATTTTGTTTGGCCCTGGCACCTGCTTCCGGTTGTCATGTCATTCAGTGAGATTGCTTTGTTGTCATGCCATTCAGTGAGGTTGCTTTATGGTAATTCTCTTGATATTTCAAACAAATTTTCAAGATTTCTGATCGGCGCTCTTGTGTATTCAGCATACTTCAAGCTGCTTAATTGCAGCTGCTTCATTGGATAAATTTAGCCAATGGTCAGTGCCTAAAAATACCTGCTGTCATTTACAGCAAAAGCTATTATAAGATCATTACAAGGGTTGTTTTTGGCATCGCAGTTTTTCACCACTGCTGGTGTCCGTAACCACTATCACGGGATATGAAAAAGGAGAAAAAACTAGCAAAGTAAATTGAAATCACCACGGGCACAATGCGATTCGAACCCAGACCCCTGGGTTCCAGTCCAGTATTCTACCTCTGATCCACGTTGGTGCTTGAATTTCAGTTGCAAAATGACCCTAGGCAAGCTTCATGTCGGGAAAGGAATCTAGTCAATATGAGTGATAAAGCATTTGAGAATAGCAAAGGAACAACCAGGCATTGCACATTGTGAATGTCTTAAGGAATGGGTCGACGAATGCACCAACCCATTACAGAAGTCTGGCATAATTCTTCGTCAACAGCGGCAACATGAAAAAAAGCACAAAATTTATTTGTAAGTGTGTAGCGGGTAACATGCTTCTCCGGAAAATGACGAATGGCATAGAGGTCATCAATGGGATATCTGTTCCGCTGTAGAAAGATTTTTTATGAAGTCAGGGTGATTTTTATTGCAAATCTTCAAATTAGTAAAATTAATTTGTTCTAAGCATTTTGTAATGCATTACATATACAATTATCATGTGCTTCTTTCTGTTTAATTATTCGTTTCTTCGCCAATCCCTCAGAGTGGGTGTGAGCCATACTTATAGGCCATCATCATCATTGAATGCCTCCCTACTACACAAAAATTATTATTTATGGCATCTGATTTTAGATCACATGGGCCAAAATGTGTGCATCTAAACACCAGGTTTATATGAAATAAAATTCTTCGTTTAGAAAATTTTCTCAGTTAATTTTGTTTTCAGTTTTCGGTTATGATGTCATGTTCAGGGATACGTGGAGCAAAAATGAGTGTGACGTTTTCAGAATGGAAGGATGTAACACTATTTAAACAGACCTTTTGGTCGGGGGGGGGGGGGGGGGTGTTGTTATACTAACTCCAGAAGAAATTGACTGTGAACTAGTAGATGTGTTCAGGTGTAGAAGTGCTGCGCGTATTGGGCCATGCTGCGCCAATCTGACCTTCTGTGCCGAGCCGCGCCTAAACGGCAATTTACACATGCAACACCAAACCAAATTAGTTGAGTTTTATCATGGACCGAGCAGCACGCTTAATACACAAAGGATGCAACCGTGTCCATATAAAATTCGCCGTCCATATCAAACGTCATATTTCGGATCATGCATGAATCTTGCGCCACGTGAACACAATGCATGATTCTTGTTAAGGTGGCATTTGTGTGCATACCTCATTATGCAACTCTATATACGTTTTACCAGCAAAGCTGTTGGGCAAACCATGAAGATGGCAGTGGTGTTCAAAAAGCTCGCCGCACTGTTGCGAGCAGCTGCCGAGCAGAGCACGCGCTCGGCCGTTGCTCGGCGCTTGGTGGTTGCTCGGCAACAGTGCGGTGAATTTTTCGCCATATAAAGTGGGAAAAAAAAAAATAAGTCAGTGTCACTGGCGAAGCGATGACTTCAAAAGCAACTGCTGTATTTTTCAGAGCATAAGTCGCGTTTTTTTAAATGAATTTTTCGTCGGTGCGGCTTATACAACGGTGGGACTTATATACAGTGCAAATCGGGTTTGACGCCGCGGCTTCGGCAGCCTGCATATCGCCGTGCGCCCCTTTTCAGGTGCACAGAAACTGCATTTAACAAGAAAATAAAAATACCGGTAAATTACCGTATTTACTTGCATAAACCTCGCACTTTTTTTTTTTTTTTTTGTGAAAAACCCATGAAAAGTTGGGGGTGCAAGAATAATGCGCAGAACATTTTTCGCGAAAGCGTACAGAGTGAATATAAAAAACGAAGTGGTCGTAAATCAGGATTCTAACGCCTGCAACAAACTACAAGCTTTGAGAAGTACTACTTAAGACTTCTCTTAACAATAAAACCACAGGTTTAACACAAGGCAAGATATATTTGAGACACAAAAGCCACAAGCAAATAGTACACAAATACCGCACGCAAAGCTTGCGGGCATTGGGGTCGTAGTGTTAGCGTTCATCACTAAACATGAGCTAGCGAAAGGTTAGTGCGCGACGTGAACCTTAGACTAATGGCCATCTAACACGGAATTGTCCGCGTTTGCCATCTGACGAAACAAAGTTTTACCATCCACTTCAGTCTTAGGCACGCGAAAGGCCCAATGCGTCTTGGCGGCGTTCAGCTGCTCGTGTTGCCGTCGCCAGTACCGAACACAAAACTCATCGACTCCGAGTTACTTACAAAGGCGGCCCTGTTGCCGTTGTTTATTGCATGATTAATCACTTTCAACTGGAAAGCAGCTGTGTAACTTTCGTGTCGCCCCCATTGTGTAACCACAGAACGGACACAACGTACAATACATTCGGCACCTTGTGCTTGCCACTTTGGCTCAGCTAAAATTAGACTGAGGCTCGTGCCACGATCTTTGAGATCAGTGGCGCGCGCCGTCATCTTAGACATCATTCTTGTGTGTTAATAGTACGCATCATGCTTAAGAGATTGCACCAGTCTTTTGTGCGCTATTTGCCGTCACTTCCGTCCGTCATAGCGCTCACGACTGCTGCGTGTAGCATGTGTTGTGCAAGGTGTATTCGAATAGGTCGCGAAGGCTCTGGCGAAAAGCGGTTCAGAAGCTATTACCAGCGACTTCAGCATGGGGAGTTATGGGAGCTGCAATTGAAGCACAACTATGCGTAGAGGGAATCTACAAATAGTCAAAAATCAAGTTTAATTCAAAATTGAAGCAATCAATTTTTGCGAATGAGATTTTTTTCCTCAACAATATTATGTAGGTGTAATGAACAAAGAATTTAGGATGGTTCTTTATTATTAAACATATTTTTTAGCACCCTCTGCACACGCTATTATTACTCAGTGCACTAAAGGCTCGCTCGTAAAATTCGTCTGCGAAGGCACACCCCCTCACTTGTTTTAGTGTTCTGCGCTTGCTTGCATTCTCTGTTGTGCGCCATTTGTTAGGTGCATTTTATCATTGGTGAACGTCTTCAGTGCAGTGTCCAACGGGCAACGATATACAGTCGCCGACCGATTTTCCGGACTCCAAAAATTCGGACTTGTTGGATATTCCGGACTTCATAAATGCACCGACAGGGATCCCATAGAGCTAATGCATTGTTTCGACCAATTTTTCGGGCGAATTTGCCCCTGAAAGTTCGATTTTTCGGACTAAATCGCTCGTTTTGTGCCACGCCCCAAGCCATTGTGAACGCTGCCATGTTGGATTTTCCGTCGGCTTGGCTAAGCTTGGTCTTCAGATGCCTTTCCTGCCTCTGAGATTGGAATGGAATGCGCACGCCATATTTTAAGTTCCGGAGGCCGTGTTTGCTTTTTAAAAGACGCGGTGATGGATGCCGTTTTTTCGTCTTCGGTCAGCACTATCGTCATCACATCGCACGGGGAGGAGGCGAAAGAAGGATTCTTTTATTGTCGTTGCAGCTTGTTTCAGTCGCCATTCTACACGTGTTGTGTCGCGTAGCGTCGAGACGTTGTGTGCTTCGCAGCGGCTATCTGCGGCGTCGAATTTTGTGTTCTCGGTACCATGGCTCCGCTATCTGTGCCATCGCGGGAGCCAGGTGGTGTGAAGAAGCGTGGGAAGTATACGACCCTGACGATGGAGAAGAAAGCTGCCATAATCAAGCTAATAGAGAGTGGACGTTCGCAGCTAGATGTCGCTGGATGACGGTCGACGCCGGATGGCGGTCGTCGTTGTCGTCGAATGACAACGACGACCGCCCGCAGCCGTCGGAGATCGCCAACGCGATGACAATTTTGTCGAGCGTTTGCGGCGACGATGTCACCTTGGCGCAAATACGGGCAAACCAAATTGCCTCCAAGCGTAGTTTGAGGCAAGGCAGCATCAAGGACTTTTTTAAACCTGCCTGATGCAATAAACTTCAGATTTTTGGCGAAAACGAATTTTTCGGACTGTTCGATTTTTCGTACTTTTTTTCGGTCCCCGCCAGGTCCGAAAAATCGGTCGGCGACTGTAATGCAAATTACATTTAACGCCGAGTACTTTCGTCAGTAGCCGCGAAAAGGATGTGCTGTACAAAATGCAGTGGCAACAAACGTATGCCTGGTGACCCCTGTCTCCTAGATAAGAAATAAGGACAATGGTTCAGAATGCACTCTCCGCTAGACTTTCATTCATCAGTATTCCTTCAGCCCGGTTTTCTTCTTGAGCATGCAATGCCTACTATTCGCGTAATTGGTCAGCAGCGCTCCAAGTTATCTATCATGGTACAATTCACATGTCTTCATTCGCATATGTACTGGTAATTTATCGGAGCCTAATGCAAAAAATAAAGAAAATCATAACGCAGGGAGTGTCTGCATTTTTTTTTTGTTGTTCTTATTACCATTTTGTGCGGTGTAATAAATTTGAGTTGTGATAATTGAATAAAGCCAAAATGTCATCATTTCAGCATAACTAGGCATCATTTCTTCCTGTTAAAATAGAAGATCACAATCATTGTGCATGCTAAAAAACCTGCGTATGTGTGAAACAAATAAACCACGCTGCAGATATCACGTGTGTATGCTTCTACGCTGTTGGTTTCCTTAATCCATCGGCGGATGACGCCACAAACGGCAAATAAAATTTTGCAGAATAAGTTTCCTTGTAAAACTGAGACAAAGTGAATGGTAGTACACTTAAACAT